AAGATAGCATTAATTTGTTATATTTCGTCCGAAAAACTGATGAATTGATCTACCCTCATGGAGAACGAGGAGAAGACAGCTAGAAAGTCCCTCACCCTAACTCTCTATCTTTCCTTCACAAATATATGCATATGCATAACTGGCATGACATTCATATTATTTCTCTAAGTAAATTTGAGTTAACGTAAAATAGATGAAAAAATTGAGATGAGCCGCATAACCTTTATTCACAATGTATCCACAATGATTCCTCAGAAAAAGGGGCATTTTCATGGTAATTAAAACATGCTATTTTACATGTCTAGCGTTTTAATGATATCAAATCACAGATTTAGAAGTAATCTGAGTGCATAACTTTTTTGAGAAAAAGTTATTAGTGAACGAGGTAAAAATTTCAGTCGAGTGAGTAATATGGCTAAGGTTATTTTCTTACTATCAAATAAAGAGTCAACCATTGTTTTATCTATCTTCACAATAGATGAATATGATAGATAGAGAGATAGATGAGAGAGAATTTTCAAGGTATGGAAAAATCATAATTGCTCCCTTTTCCCAAGAAAATGCGATGCTTTAAGTCACTTATCGACACCTATATCTACCGAACTTATTAGAGACTGGATAAAATTTTAAAAAAGAAATGAAAAAAAAAAAAGAAACGAAACCGTGCTATTAAACAATCATTCCTTCGTTATATCTAAAAGACCCATTTCCCTTTTATAACAGTTACGAGAACCTTTGGAAACAAGACAACTCCTAAAAAAATTTAAAACGTCTATTTCTCAGATCCTGAAGTCATCACCGAAAAGTTATCCAACCAGGTTCAAATACATGTAATTATTTATCATACCTAAAATTTGCAAGAATATTGACCAAGCCGTGCACATTTTTTTTCAAAGTGCGTTTATATGGTCAATATTAACTCACTTTGAAAAAAAAAAATTCAAAGTGCGTTGACGTGGTCCCAAAATTAAAGCACACTGATTTTTTTTTTCAAAGTGCGTAATTTTTCAAAGTGCGTTGTAACAAGACATACTCAGAATGTGTAAATTCAAGTTTGGTGAAAGTTTTACTCCAATATTTGGGGGTGGGGGTGGGGGGTGGGGGGCACCAGGAGAATTTTTCATCGGAATACATACAAAGAATCCTGAAATTATTTCCTTTCTGAAGAGTAAAGTCATCTTGGCATTTTTATATGCAAGCATCTTTAGTAGTTTACATATCCAGGATCTCAGAAATAGGTTTGGGCTACAAGAGGGGATCAAAGATTTCAAGAAAATATAAAGAAAGAAATCCTTTTTTTAATTTGTTGTGACCAACAACAAAAATGTAAGATGTGTTGAATCAATTGATACATCAATGACATACTTATTGAAGCGAACATTTGTCTTTCTAGGTCAATGTGCGATAGCCTGTGATTATAATCAAAACTTTTTGTACAAGGAATACAATTGCAACACAGTTATAAACTAGTTCGATAATGCGCAGTTCGGGGGGGGGGGGGGGGGCTCTGACCCCATCCCCCTGGATTTGTAGAATTATCAAATGTATACATGTATATTGAAGCAAATAAAAAATGCCAATATGGATATAAAGATTTGATTGCTTATTCTTTAATATGTGTACAGAAGATTCTTTTTAATATATAGAATATTTATCACACTGTAATAATGATTTTATGAGTTTTTACACACCAGACGTCATAACTGTTTCATTTCACATGTTGAATAGTATCATTTAGTAAATGAAAAAAAAATGAAATAAAATAAAATAAAATAACAAGATGCCCTAGGGCCTTAACGGTCACCTGAGTACAACCATTTTGAGGATCCATAAACTGACAAATGAAGCTTTGTTGCAAAAAAGCATGAAAAATAGTACGATTAGGATCAACAAAATAATTGTTCTAGTATCTATCTATCTGTCCCTCATTTATCACTATTACCATGCAGACTTTTACTAAAATGTCTATTAACTCTCACATTGACCTCACTTGGCCTTTGAAGAACATTTAAAAAGATAAGTTATTTTTGTTTCATTTTTATTCATCTATTATTTCCAAGTCTACCTGATCATTTAGACTAAGAAAGTACTTTTTGTATTATACAATAAATGTTCTTGCATAATTCTCATATTCTATTAACCTTTCAAATACATTACCTACAGTGATTAATTATCAAATGTGAATGGCAAAGGGGAATAACTTCACTCAGTAGAATACAAATTAATAGAGTCCTGGTCAGGACCAGAACACTTGACTAAATGGTCCAGATGTTCAAAATTCTGGTAAAAATACCCTTGCTTATTAAAACTTTTTACTCTGAAATTGCCTCCAATATGCCCAGGAGCAGAGAAGATCTACAAATAAATAATGCATTTTCACTACTTAACACAGCCCTACATTAACACCAAAACCCATGACCCAGGGTCAAGATATTTACAAATTTGGAAGAGTTTCCCTGATCATCATAACTATGCAATTGCATGTAGTTAAAGATTTTCAAAGAATTCACCCATTTTCCCTATATTATCAATAGAGCCCTCCCCCCTCCCACACACAACAGAACCCCTAGGGCCACAAGTTTTAAAAAAAAATGTAAAAGCATCCTTGCTCATCATAACTATACACTTGTTTCTTTGCTTTATAACCAGGATTAGAAAAAATATTTTGAAAGAAATTATGAATTTTCACTATATAATCAATGGTGTCAACACACCCCTTTCACCAGAACCTCTGACCCTGGGGACATTAATTTCACAATTTTGGAAGAGGCATCCTTGCTCATCATAACCATGCACTTCCTTTGTTTAAATAATACCTAGGAGCAGAGAAGAAGATTTTCAAAGAATTGATGCATTTTCACTATATAATCAATAGAGCCCCGCCCTAACACCAAAACCCCAACCCAGGGGCCATGAAATTCACATTTTCTGAAGAGGCACTCTTGCTCATCATAACTATGTACCAAGTTTATTTAATACCAAAGAGCAGAGAGGAAGATTTTCAAAGATTAGATGCACTTTCACTATATAAAATAGAGCCCCGCCCTAACACCAAAACCCCTTACCCAGGGGCCATGAAATTCACAATTTTGGAAGAGGCAGCCAAGCTCATCATAACCATTCACTTAGTTTATTTAATACCCAGGAGCAGAAAAAAAGATTTTAAAAGAATTAATGCATTTTCACTATATAATCAATAGAGCTCCACCCTAACACCAGAGTCCCTGACCCAGGGGTCATGGAATTCACAATTTTGGAAGAGGGAGTCTTGCTCAACATAACTATGTACTTAGTTAGTTTATCTAATACCCAGGAGCAGAGTAGAAGATTTTCAAAGAAATAATGCACTTTCACTATATGATCTATATAGCTCCACCCTAGCACCAGAACCCCTGACCCTGGGGCCATGAATTTCACAATTTTGGTAGAAGGTCCAATGCTTATTACAATCATTCAACAGTTTGACTGCTTGGTGTCCAGGAGTAAAGAAGAAGATTTTTAAACATTGCATCAATTTTGGTGGTTTTAGCCCCACCCCTCGCGCAGTACAGTTAAGGTGACAAATGGAAATATCGGCGAATTTTTATATAGAAAATACATTCTTTACAAGGATGGGCGATTCTTTTTAGGACTTTACTATTATCAGACAAATGTAATGTGGTTGAAAACTACATGTTGGGGACGATTAGATTTCTTATTTAGACTTGTGACGTAATGTGGCAGTCACGTGATTTTAGCAAATATACCTGCAATATTGAGGTCATCTATAAATTCAAATATTGCAAGGGCATAACCACTTTGAAAATCTGAGTTTAATTTATAATTATTTTCAAAACTCTTTGTAGTTTGTGAAAAGTGCAGCGAACCTATATTGATTCTACTATATGACTGTTAAAATTACGTTTGTTAGACCGTATACTGAGTATTTTGCTGGTCAAGTACATTAAATATAGATATAATTAATTCATTTGCAAGATTTCATCAGGTTCGCAGCACTTTTCAAATATCTTCATACCTCTTGAATTTATGTGTAAAAGCTTGTCATAATTCATTGAGGGCATGCCCTTGCAATATATCGATTTATTACGACCCTTCTATTACCCTTCAATGGATCTGCATACAAATATACGGCAGTATCGCTTGTCTAGGAAATGTACGGGAAGTATATGATTAAAATCATAAAATATACATCGCATCCAAGTTAATGGCCTCTTATATATCTGCAAATATATTTTATTTAGTTACAAAATACATTTTTCATTGTATAAAATATAACTTGATCCGCCTCTCACAGCATACAAACTGCGTCAAATTTTGCGATATGACGTCACATTGACAAGTGCATTGCGATCAGTGAATTGTTTATATATTGCTCAGTGGGATTAAACCAAAGACAAAAATACATGCAATAGAAAGTATTGATGTAGTTTAAAGCTATCCAACAGTTTAAAATAGCAAATCATTTCATTTTGTGGTAATTTGAAGAACATATACATTTGTGTGATGTCATAGTAAGCATTTCCCGTAAAAATTAGGCCCCGCCTCCTTACTGCAGCCTTAACTGTGCTGCGCGAGCCGCAGAGCGGCAGGGATGATGAAATTCACAAATTTTGTTCCCCTTTACCCATAGATGCTATATGCCAAAATTGGTTGAAATTGGTCAAGCGGTTTTGGAAACGTTGAAAATGTTCAAAAGTTAACGCACAACGTACGACGCACGACGACGGACGATAACGGATAGCAATAGGTCACCTGAGTGACTCAAGTGACCTAAAAAAAGGATCAAGAAAGCTCAAAAGCTTCTTGAGATATCGCCCGGAAACGAAAGTGTTACACACAGACGGAATGTATGAATTTACGACCTTGAACTTTGATCGTTTGACTTCAAAATCAATAGGCGTCTTCCTTAGGCTACAGGGAGTTTTTTTATGTAAAATTTCATTGCAAAAACTCAAAGGATTCTCGAGATATCGCACGGAAACAAAGTGTTACAACAGACCAAATTTATGACCTTGACCTTTGGTCTCAAAATAGGGTTCTTCTTTAGGGCATAGGGAGTTGCTATGCAAAATGTCATTGTGAACGCTCTAAGGGTTCTCGACATATCGCGCGGAAACGAAAGTATTACAGACAGACAGAAATACAGACGGACGGACGGACAGACAGACCCAAATTAATATCCCCCACTTTCAGTGAAAGCGGGGTACAAAAATTGCGGTAGTTTATAATATTGCAGCAATAAGAAGCAAATTAATTTATTAAAACTCTAAGCCGGCAAGCCTAGCATCAAGCCATTCATATTTTCTAATGCTTGTACACAATCAAAACTTTATACACTGTATGTGTCAAATTGCAAATTATAATAATATTAATGCGTACTATTTGGTACAACAGATAAAACTAGCAAAAATATAAACAATACAGTAAACAGAGACTCCGTAAGTTATAATCAATGTTTGTTGAGTTGTTCAAACATTGTCTGTATCACTTATCTTCAATTCAGAACCTTCTTCTGTATCTGTAACAGTTAAAAAAAGGATAGCATCACATTAAAATTTATGTAGCGCTACGTACATGTACTATTGCCATTAAAAAATCAGGAATGTTTGAAAAATTTAAGTTCTAAAGATCAAAATGTCTTATTTTTATAGAAAATAAGAGAAAAATCTCCTGTTTATGAAGTGTATCATGTAAATATATCCCAATCAGTAGTCATTGTCCATTAGCATTTCCAATTTTTTTCTCTGATTAGCATCCACCCATCTTTCGAAAACCTACCTACCTATTCGAGAAAAAAAGAAAAACAAGCTTAAAAATAAAACAGAAGACTTTATAATAAATAAATGGTATCATCCAATGGATTTGACTTCATTAATTAATTTTTCCCGTAGAGATATCTATTCTTTCCCAAAATCAGGATACTAAATGCCTAAAATATACCTTATCTGACATATTGTAGACAGATATTTAGAGAAATTGACAAAATGTAAATATTTTAACCAGTATACATGTAATAAGTATAGAACATCTGATTTTTTTTTTTCGATAATTGTTGTTAAAAACCAAGGCACACGCGGACGCTAAGCATAGAAAAAAAAACTTGGAATGGCCTTACTATTCAAAGAAATTTTGAATCGACACTACTAGGTAATGGAATTTGTCATAAGAAAAATGCTTTAGATTTGCCCTACTCTTCTTTAAATAAACAAAAAATCGATCACCTATGCATTTTGGCCAGAGAAAAGCAGATATAACCTCATTTTTGAAAAGTTTCAATATATTAGTGGTCCAAACCTACCCCTGTTCTCCCTAGGGGATCTATAATTGAACAACCTTGAATCTACACTAACTGAGGATGTTTCAATACTTCTTTATTCGATTTCCTGTCATGTCCCACACCTACATAAGGGATCATATTTTGAACAAACTTGAATGTACACTATTTGATGATGCATTTTTATGAATTTCACTTACTATGGCATTGTTGGTCTTAAGATTAATTGATTGTATGTTGTTTTACGTCCCATTCGAGATTTAAAGATGTAAGTTTGATCTCCTGTTGTGGCCCGACCCTAACCTCGGAGGTTATGTTTTGAACAGATTTGTATTTTATTACACTACCTGATGATACTTCTGTACGATTTTTTTTTTATGATTAACAATGGCTTCGCTGTTCTTGAAATTTTTGAAGATAATTTCTTTATATCCCTATGTATAACAATGATCTCCTGATGTGTCCCCATCCGCCCTTCCACCGGGTATCATGATTTGAACTTGAATCTATTCTTTCTAATAAAGATATCATATAATTTCCATCTTTTCCGACAGAGTTGTTCTTCTTAAAGACGGTTTTTAATTGATTAAATTTTCACTAATCCTGTATTACGTCTCCTTGTTTGTTTGTTCAACAAGAATTTTTCACTCATTCTGAGGCGCCACTACTTTTGGTGGAGGGTTGCAGACCTGTATTCGGCACTTAGAGCCTTTGAACAACTATGAATCTTCATCATGCCAGCACTTACTTTTAAAAGTCTGTCTTTTTTTCATTTTTTCTGTGGCACAATGGTTTTTTTTTTTTTTTTTAGATTTCTAAATGTTACAACTAAACCTTTAAGTGCTTATTATCTCCTCTCGAAAAAGTACATTGTCCTTGACATGCTTTTGAAGAAATATAACCCTCCGTTACTCTAAAATGCTATGTGGCAAGTTCAATAGAAATCGGTCAGTGGTTATGAAGAATATGAAAATGTGAAAGTTAACAAAAGACACGTGTTAGACAAACAGACAGGCAGAACTGGGCACACTTTGATAAGGTTATAAGAATGACATTCATTCTATAAATGATTGATACTTTGATTCATCATCATGAAAATAAAGACCAAACATTCTATATCAGAGTATGATTAAGGACCGTCTTATTTTGAGTGTTCAAATGAACATTAGAGAATAGGCCGTTATATTTTATTCATATACTTCCTGGTGCTTAATGAAAATATAATAATTCAATGTACATTCTAAAATGATGTCAACTACATTTTCCAATTTTATTATTTCCCATACCTGATTTAGTCCTCTTTTGTTTAAGTTTCTTTCGACACAGACCCCGCCGAACAAACAAAACTATGGCAAGCAATATTAGAACTATTCCCAAAAAACTAATTCCCAAAGCAAGAGGTAAACTTAAATCCTGGTCATCGTCAAATCTGAAAAAAAAAAAAAAAAAACATTGTATTTTTTTTTGACAAAAAAAATTACAATGCTGATTATTGCAAACATGTAGGAAGAATCGATATGCCAAGTTAGCTTACAATGTAGATAAGGAGCTTTCAGTTCATAAATTCAATATGTAATTATTTTTTAAAAAAAACTCACTCTTCAAAGTTCTAAGAATTTGTAGCAGCTAAGCAAACTCGACACGTTTGAACAAAAAAGACAAATGCCAATCTATAAATCAACAATTTTGTGACATATTTTATATAGAAATTTCCTATTTACCAAATTGATCTGACCAGAAAAAAAAAAGAAATGACTAAAACCCTGCTGTTTTTGCATCAGCACATAGTTTCTCCGATATATTCCTAGTATGTTAAAATAAATATGGCCATTAATGGCTTTGCTCTTCTTGTCACCTACGTATTAGTGGTTAGAGCGTTTGCTTTAGACAACGTTGAATAACAGTTGATCCTTACTCACGGATTCGTATCCAACTGCAGGACGTGGAGATTGGTCATTCGGATGAGAATGTATGAACGTAGCTCCCACAAAGGTGTTCGCACGCAAAAGATCCCTCTTTGCCTTAAGAGTACAGGCATACGGTGGCTGCAACGTTATTGTTGACAACTTACACGAACGATTTCGCACGATTAACGCACGGTCGCGCTTCATTTATTTTATTTGGATTTAAAAACAGACAAGCGAAATGCTTGTATAACAAATAACATTCCGATAAAAACTTGCAAAACGAAATTTACACGTTTTTTAATGCACGATCACGCACGATTAAAATCGCAAATGATTGAGTCTGATACACGCACGATCTCGCACGTTACATGAACGATCATGCACGTTACACGAACGATTCTACACGATTGGTTTGTCAACAATAACATTGCAGCCACTGTAAATTTGCTGCCCTCCACCGTAAATGGTGCTGTTTCAATATGAGTGAAAATTCAAGAAGGGGCATCATACAAACAAACAGGCTTCGTTGTTATTGAGAAAAAACTTTTTAAAAATCTTTCCTTTAGTTTATAAATTCATGTTTTAATTGTGGTCACCGCCACCCTCTGGGTCATTGTTTAAACATATTTTAATCTCCACTATATACTGAAGCTTTCACACAAAGTTAATGTACTCTGGCCTAGTGGTTCTTGTGAAGATTTTTGAAACAAGCTATTAAATTTCCTAATTACATGTAACTTCCTTTGAAATAAAGCATGGCCCTTCTTTAGAACAAACATGAATTTCCTGTACCAAAGAATTTTTAGTGTCAAGTTTTGTTAAAACTAGCCCAGTTGTGTTCAAGAAGAGGTCGAAAACAGATGGACAAACAGACAGATGCCAGACAAAACGTGATCGGAAACCTTTTAGCTCAGCTGAGCTAAAAATAATTTTGCCTATACAGATATGTGTAAATTTTTTAACTTTCATCTCTCAAATCAATACAAACCTAACACTTGTCGTTATTGGTACAGTGGTAGAGGAAAATGAGTAACTCAAGCTACTGATAAGAATTAGATCCCTTCCTTCTGTGTTAGACTGGCTAGTAGGTCTGACCACAAGTTTATAGCAATCACTATCTACAACAATTAAAAGGTTTTGTTATTAAAATTTAAAGCATATTTTTTCTTTGTTAATGGATGTTTGGGCATATAAATAAATGAAAATCTACTCAATGTAATTTATTTTTGATCGTTTGAACCTCTATTATATATTGATAAAGTTTTATTTGATGATAAAAAAAAATTGCATGCATAAATCAATTTGTGTTCACTAATGATAAAATTAGCGGTTCTTATGTCTTATGTGCTTCATTCTTGTTGATACCGATTTATCATTAAGGAACACAAATTTAATCATTAATGCAATAGCTAATCAGAAAGTCCTGTAGATTTCCTTTTAATCTTTTCATTTGTAACATAGATCATCCATCGTACTTACAAGTACATGTATAATTCAACAGCATTTATCGGGGACGTTATTAGAATCGTGTTTGTGCATAAAACGTCTGTCCTGAATATAAATCTTTAAGGAAAATCCTAAGGACAATGACAATTCACCGATACAGTACACTGAGCGTCCTTATGGTTATGATCAGTCTTAAGGAGGCCGGTTTACACTATGCAACTTGACACACGCTTCTATTTTGCCTCATGCATCTTCTTATTTAGACTGTGTGTCTTGACACATGCATTTTCAGAAAGCTTTTCAAATATGAAGTTTTATCCATTTTAAAAAAAATAACAAAGCCATCAAATTTCCTTTGTAGATTTATCTTAGCTAAGCGAATCATTCATTTTTATACTTTTTATGATAATTCTTGGGATATCTAATGTATAAATATTCCAAAAAAAGAACTCCTCTTAATGATATTGATCAAATTAGCTTTTCTAGCTGTAGTTTTAATCAGTATTTTCTTTGTTTTGATTCTTTTAGTATGCAGTTTTTGCCACCATATGAAGGGAACAAAAAGACTTATGATCCAATCTCAACTCCGACCTTTCTTTTCATTGGTCAATTCCATGCATCTTGACACATGGAATAGAACAAGTTCTATTCAATCTGTCAAGACGCACCACCATTTAAATCTGATACAAGGCGTATTTACACTGTGAATTAAGATACATGCATCCAAGATGCATGTGTCAAGATGCATACTGTAAACCGGCTTTTAGACTGAATCCAAACTTTTAGTCATTCATAAAATGAATATTTTTATAAGACTTGGAAGCTAAAATTGACACCATAGTAAAAAACATATGTAATCAGAGATTACAGAGTTCATCTCAACAAATGTTGCTTTTAAGTAAGGCAAAGTCCAACAATAAACTAATATTCTAGTAGTGTACATCCCAAGATGCAACATTTATGCAATTATGATCTTCTAGGGCTTGCAGTTACTTAGGAATAGACTTATCACAAAACTTCAAACTAGTTACTCATTCAGAAAATGCAATTCAAATCAGGCATTTGAAGCAAGTTTGAGAGTGTTCATCCCTTGTTGCATCATCCACACAAATTTGGTTCAGATAGGTCTTATAGTTTCTTGGTGAAAGACTTGCACCCAAAACTTTAACCTGGACCATTATCTGGAACATGTATGTTGGATCCAGCATCTGAAGCAAGTCCATAAGTGTGCATCCTTAGATGTATCATCCTTGCAAGTTTGGTCAACATAGGGCTTATAATTATTTTAAAATGAACCTGCTCATGAAAGCTTTAATCTGTCACTCATCGGGAAAATGTAGGTCAGATCCAGCATCTGAAGCAAGTTCAGTTGTATGCATCCTTAGATATATCATCCATGCAAGTTTGGTCAATATAGGGCTTATAGTTACTTTAGACCTGCTCCAAAATACTTTAACCTTATCACACATCCCAATAAAAAAGACCAGATCCAGCATCTAATGCAATCCTGGTAATGTGCATCCTTAGATGTATCATTCATGCAAGTTTGGTTTTCATAGGGCTTATAGTTACTTGGAAATGAGACCTTCACCGTAAGCTTTAACCTGTTCACATATCCAGAAAATGAAGGTAAGATCCATCCGAGCCAAGCTTCTTAGTGTGTATCCTTAGATGTACCAACCCTGCAAGTTTGGTCAACATAGGTCTTTTTAAATTAGTTACTTGGAAATGAGACCTGCACCAAAAACTTAACCTGGTCACTTTTTCTGAAAAGGTACGTCAGATCCAGCATCTGAAGCAAGCCTGGAAGTGTAATCTATCATCTATGCAAGTTTGGTCAACAAAGGTCTTATAATTAATTGGAAATGGGACCTGCATATACAGATATATATATATATATATATATATATATATATATATATATATATATATATATATATATATATATATATATATATATATCTACACTTTTTCAAAAGTTTCCTCTTTTCTGGCCTAGCGATTCTGGAGAAGTAGATGGCATTTTAGAAAGTTTATGCTTACAACAACAATGAGCCTTTTGTTCAAGTGAACTAAAATCTGTAAAGTTTTAGATTTTTTCAAAAATTTCAAGATAAATCTAATCAACACCGCTTCGGTCTTGATATGTGGCGGGAATTGCCCCATCTTTGACACGTTAAAGAACTTAACATTAAAGAGTTTTGGACAAACCATCTTTAGTCATCATTATTGTACTATTTCTTATGTTTTTGATTGTCTCGTCATTGAACACAACTCTGTATATAACTGTTATTGTATGATTTGAGTTATATTGTTGTTCAGCTACATTGTTCTTTCTGTCATTTATTTCCTGAATAAATGACCATTCTAATTCCTACTGAATGTGTTGTTTTAATGCTTGGTTTTGTTAAGGTGATATAAAAGTCACATAACGTGCCAAACAGAGCATCACCCTATCAGTTATCCATAAATCTAATTTCTGACTCAAGTGTAGGACTATAATTTAAAGGTCTGTATATGGCATGGCCGTAGGAACCGGTGGGGGGGGGGGGGGGAGCACCGGGGGGCCGTGCCCCCCCCCCCAATAATTTTGCCGATATATAGAAAACTATAGAAAACATAGCTGCTTTATGCTTGTGCCCCATCAATATTAACGTCTGCTGAGCTTTTTTTTTTATTTTTTTTTTTTTTTTGCTTGTCAAGGAATTTTGGTAGTTGATAGTTCCCCTTCAACTGAAAATTTATGGTTGTGCCCCCTCAAACTGAAATTGCTTCCTACGAGCCTGTATGGAATAGATTTTTCTCCGTCTAATTTTGTAAAAACATTTTTGATTTCAAAGATTACCGTAATCTGCATGTCACTTACATTTGTATGTGTCTGTTGATCTGTACCTTAGAGGACATGTGTTTTCTATAAATACACCACAGTTTGTATTCTGATTCGCCTGGATAACACCTCCACCTTCGTTGTATTCAGTACATCGTCCTGTAGATAAAAAGTGGGAATAAAAATCAATAGATAGTAATTTCACACATTTTTCTAATATTTTAAAGTCCTTATATGTTGTACATTGTTTTGTGATTTTACGTTATAATGTGTAACTGAATAGAGGTAAATCATGCTCTTATATTTACTTTTTTCTCAGACTAATTTTCACTTAAAAGTTGAAAATTAGTTTGAGAAAATAGTGTGTGTAAGGGCATAAATTATCTTATCTTTAATCACTTACATTTTAAAGTATAACGACGACAAAGTTCCAGTGCATTTGAGGCTGTTTAGTTTCATAAAAAACAAATACAAAAATCATACATACACAATTCTAGAAATGGATTCATTTCTAAAACTTTTCTCGAGTAAGATTATAAAACTAGCGGTTTTTTTTCGCAATTAAAATAATTTAACAGTATACAAACCATTAACGATGAATTTAGGTACAGCGCACACCTCTATTGTGACATTGAGGAAATGGTTAGGTACACAGTGATAAGCTAGAGACGAGGTTCTACAGGCTTGGGATATGGAGGGACAGTTCTTCCTTAAAGCGGCTTCATTCCAGTCCCTTTCATTTTCTGGACAAAATTCTACCACTTCGGCTGAGGATCTGGATGCTTCACAGCATTCGTGTGGCTTAAATATAAGTGCTAGAAATTAAATTTTCATTTTTCATACTTTCAGCAAGGTCCTACAATTAAAAAAATGAATCTCTTACAAATTATTTTCTTATCAAAATAGAATATAACACAATTACTCAATATGTTGGGATTAAGAAGACTTTTGTAAGTTTATAGTTTTATTATAAAATCACAGCAAAGGCAAAACAATGGTACATAAGAAAAGTTCAATGGCTGCCGGTCTCGGAGCTAAGGTGGTGAAAGCTCACATATTCAGTCTAGGAGCTAAAATGGTAAAAAGCTCTCGTAGTCAGTCTTAGAGCTAAGATGTTAAAAGCTATTGATACTCAGTGCGCACATCTTTTGTACAAGAAGCTGCATCATAGGGATCACGTATTTGGTAATAACAATCAGTAAGATACATCGTCACTAAATTAATATAGTTCGCCCCTCACTGAAGCTGTCTCATCTCCTTATAGGATACGGCAATGTCCTCTGTTTACATTAACATTGTGTATCTTGCACATTCTTCAGTTAATTAGATGGTTGCAGCTTTGCACAAAGTCTGATTGGAAGTGTCAATGTTAGAGAACAACACATCGTAAAAACTAATTGACCGTCAAATGAAGCTGCTCACTTATTGTATCCAATCTCCCAGAGTTTGTAAACAAGTTCATAATTAAGAGGTTATTGTCCATCGCTCTACACACTGATAGTATCAATTATAATTCAAAACACAATATTTTAAATATTAATAAACTCAATGTACAAACTTAATATATCAATTAAAATTATAATTTGAACGCTCATTGTGTTACATTCCTCCCCAAACCAGAGGAAACATTGTCCAATGTTTCACTTTATAAAAGGCACTAACACAATGAGTCAAAATGTCCATAAATTAATCACTTTAAAATGGCCATAACACACAATACACAGAAGTCCAATAAGAATGTCCTGAATTGTTTGTGGAATAATGACGAATGTCCCTTGAAAAACGGCGACATCCACTTGACCAGGATTTCTGTGACTTCTTATGGAATACGGTGAATGTCCCTCACATCTGGTGACATCCCTCAGGTGGTTAATAATGGGTGACATCTTATGGATAATGATGAATGTCCCTTAAACTCGGTGACATCTACTGGATAATGATGAATGTCCCTTAAACTTGGTGACATCCTAGACATGACACATTGTCATAATGTTTGTGATCGTATAGTGGTAATAATTGTTCATGCATCACTGCAAACGTTAACACACAAAAATTTGTAATCTGCAACAGAGTTAATTAAAGCTTTCTGTTCAATTGTTATTGGTGAGTCCGAGACTTGGATACATGGCGTTGATCTTTTGCGGCTGTTTATTATCAGCTTCGGTGGATTTCGTCTCTGCTTCAATGTAATTAAGAACCATTGTGGCTGGTGATTTCATCGTCTGCAAAACTGATTTCTGGTTATTTTCAGCATTCTCCATGCTCATTACTGGTGCAGATGGAACATCAGTATGGTCAGTCTCTCTGCCTTCTAGGTACTCTGTCATTCCTGACTCTGAACAATTGGCTGAAATATTATACCTAGAACTTTTCTTTCTGGACAACCAATACACTTTTGACCTTGACCTTTTATACACATTTTCAAATATACAACACAATTACTGACCCCATAATAATAGAACTTATTATCCCCAGGAGAACGTATATATCCCTGTCAGTCAACCACTCTCAGTTATGGGAATATTTTGTATACATATATTTTTTTTAATTCTTAAGTATAAAATTAATTCTTTCCAATTTAGGAGAATCTTTGAAATGTGGAATTAAAAGGGTCACATAAAATTGAAATGTTGAATTATTAATTTGCTTTAAATAATTGTGAACAAAGAGTCAACTTGAAATCACAAATAGCGATGTGACATTTTAATAACATTACTTTAATGGTAATTCAAAATGTATTGCACTTTTGTACCAGAAATGATTAGATTAGTCACAGAGAGGCTTCAAAATTTCACACAGAGAAAACAACCATGTAATCACTTTATCAAGTCTCAATTTTATTCTAGGTTAGATTTCTTCATCTAACAATGTCATACTCAGACACATTACTTAATGTAATCCTAGACCATTTTTTAAAATTATATTTAACACCATTTATGCTTTTCAAGATTAAACCTCATTTTACTGTCCTTTTAGTACTAGTTCAGAAAATTTATTCCGATATGTCATACCCAGACATGCTACTAACTGTAGCACTAGTTTTAATCAAATAATTGATCTGATTTTACTCTTCTAAATCACCACATGAAAATGTTAAAAGGCTACAGTAATATTTTAAGAGCAGCTTTCAGCGTTTTCACGGTTTTTTCATGATCTGACAATTTTGATTGCTTCATTTTCTTTGACTTCTTATGAGATTTTTGTATGTAACATTCATTTATGTCCATTTCATCAAAATCTGATGCTTGTTGTATAGTCTCACTGTCACTGGAATCTTCTAACTTGTCAGATTCTAAATCCTCTCTAGGGTTAGTCTGTTGACGTTGTTTTAGGCGTTTAGACAATTCCCATAAAGGTATGTCGTCCTCATCAGACCAATCGTCTCTTTCTTTTCTAAATTTATTAGCAAGTCTAGCTAATGGTGTTCTGTCATTGGGGTCATCAATGTCAGGTACACTGTCAATCTTGTTTTCTTCGTCTTCTTCGTCACTTTCAGGAGGTATTGCATATGCTGCATTTCTTAAAGGTCTACCGTCTTCCTCTTTTGGAATTTCCCAATCTACTTTTGCTAATCGCAAGAGTTCTTTATGTGTTTTCACAACTCGACCGTCCAACTGATTTTTAATTTTGAATGTCACGGGTGTAGTTTGTTCAATAACACGATAAAAGGGTTTCAAATTACTTTGCAATTTACTTTGCTTTTGATTATTTTTGTAATAAACTGGATCTCCCACTTTTATTTCTTCGTGTACAGTGTTTTTATTTGCATATTTCATTTGTTGTTGTTTTGCTTTTTTCATTATTCTATGAACGCGTGTGAAAGTTTTGTGTTGTTCCTGAAGCGCTATTTTATGAAGGTCTTCACCCATGTACTTGCGTCTAGGTTTCAAAATCTTATCAATGGGCAAAACAACATCCCTGTTGTAAAGCAAGAAAAAGGGAGAAAACTTGGATGATTCATTGATGTGAAAACGAACTGCAGCTAGTGTCTGATTGAGATGTATGTCCGATGTTGTCAGGTTGTCTTGTAATTTCTTGGACAAAACATCATGCATTGTGCGATGGAATCGTTCAACTTTTGCGTTACTTTGTGGATGGTAATACGATGTAGTAACATGTGAGATGTTTAGTTCTTTTAATGTTTCTTTAACAATTCTGTTTTCATTTTCTGTCCCATTATCAGTGACTATTTGCAAAGGCGCCCCATATCTTGGAAAGATTTCTTCTAAAATCAAATGAGCAATCGTTTCTGCTGTTTTATCCGGCACAGCAAAGGCCTCAGGCCAGCCACTAAATAGATCAACAAACCCCACAATATATTTGTTCCCTGATAAAGACCGAGGGTATGGGCCCGACAAATCTAACCCAATTTTTGCAAATGGATATGGAGGTATGTCTGTCTCTTGAAGTGGTGGTTTTAACTTCTTTAAGGACCTCACAGAACACGTAATACACTTTGTTACATAACTGTAAATTTCTTGATACAAGTTTGGCAGTAATACTTTTGCCTAATAGAATCAAATGTCTTGTCTATTCCCATATGTCCAGTATCATCATGATATTGTTTAATGACACCGTCTCTGTAGTGTCGAGGAACGTACAAACGCACGATAGGATCATGTTCCATATTTGACAGGAAATACACAACATCATCTATTAGCATGTATTTACTTAATATTGATTTATCGGCTTTTCCTTGTAAGATGGTATTTTTAATTTTTAGGATTTCTAGATCTTTATTTTGTTCTTTGGCCATATCTGCATTTTCTTCCTTTAAAATTTCAAGGTCATTTTTGAAAGGTAGATCTGGTCTTTCAAGTTCACAACTAGCGTACTGTTTAGGATCAAAGGAATTTGAATCTAAGAAATTTATTTCAAATGTCTTATCATTTACATCAGGGTCAGCAATTTCCTCATTTTCCTCTTTATTTATTTCAGGATTGTCTGGTAATCTTGACAATAAATCTGCGCACGTATTTTCTGTTCCTGCGATGTATTCTATTTTACAATTGTAACCCGCTATACTCAAAGCCCAAAGTTGTATCTTCTTATTTTTCATTGGCGCTTCCAATAAGTATTTCAACGGTTTATGATCTGTCCTTATCACAAACTTTGCATTATGTAAGTAGTGGTCTAGTTTCTGTAAGGCATAATGAATTGCGTACGCTTCTTTTTCGACCGTTGACCATCTCGTCTGAGTATCGCTTAGTTTGTTTGACAAATAATAAATTGGCTTTTCATTTTTAACCCCATGAATAATTTCATCTCGATAATCTGTTTCTTGAACCAAGCACGCCCCTATCGCTTTGTCAGAAGCATCCGTATACAAAATGTATTCTTTGTTCAAATCAGGATAAGCCAGCAATGGAATCACGGTTAAACTTTCTTTCAAGTAATCAAACGCTCTTTGAGACATTTCATTCCATTTGAATTTTGCATACTTTTTCGTTAAGTCAATAAGTGGTTCGGCTATTTTAGAAAAGTTTGGTATGAACCGTCTGTAATAGCTACACATCCCTAGAAAACTTCTCACATCTTTAACACAGTTTGGAACTGGTACATGCCGAATAGCTTTAACTTTTTCTTCATCGGGTTTAATTCCATTTTTATTGATAATGAAACCTAAATATTTTGTTTCATCTTTTAGAAAACTGCATTTTTTTAACTTTAATTTCAGCCCATGTTGCCTAAGCCTATTGAACACATTCTGAATATGTTTCATGTGATCTTCTAATGTTGCAGAATAGATCAAAACATCATCAAGATAAGCGGTAGCATAGTGTTCATAACCTTGAAGAACCTCGCTCATTAATTGTGAAAAGATCTGTGGAGCATTACATAACCCAAATGGCATCACATTAAATTCAAATAAACCTCTGTGACAAGTAAATGCTGTTTTTTCTTTGTCGGCTTCATCCATTGCAACTTGCCAATAACCGGACTTAAGGTCTAAACTTGAAAAATACTTAGCATTTCCCAAAGTGGCTAAGATATCATCGATCAAAGGCAAAGGATATGAATTCAATTTAGTTATTTTATTCAGTTGTCCGAAATCAACACAAAATCTTTTCGACCCGTCCTTTTTGTCTACAACAACAATCGGAAAACTCCACGGAGATTTTGACCTTCGAATGACATCGGCACTTAACATTTCATCTACTGCTTTTTCGACAATTTGGCGTTTATTTAATGGAACTCTGTATGGTCGCAGTTTAATTGGTTTATGATCTCCCGTGTCAATTTTCATTTTTACTGTGCTTGTTTGACCCAATTCAGTTTCACTCTCAGCAAAAAGATCTTTATTAGCAATTAACAACTCTGAAATTCTCTTTTTATTCTCTTTTGGTAAATCAATTTGATCTAAGTTAATTTGATTCGAGGTTTTGCATGCTTTCTTTTTATTAATGGAAGCGATTGTTGATTTATTTACATTATCTGCTCTACCAATCGGACAGCCTCGTTTAATTTTAATTGTTTTATTGGTGTTATTTACAATCAAAATTGGCAATCTGTTGTTATTTTTAACTTTTGTTAAAGAATTGCCTATCATTAGCCCTGGTTCGCCTCCCACAAAACCATTATCAAGAGATGAGACTTCAACTAAGCCATCATTTGTAACAAAACTTCTTTTCAGTTTTCCATAACAAACATGCGCAGTTTGAGGTTTGATTACAGATTTTCTAGTTGCTCTCACAATTGCAGAGATATGAATATCTTCTTGAAATGGAATGTATGTTTTCCCTATTCTAAAAGACCCTAAATCATAGTATAAGCGCACACCATTCTTGATCAACCAATCGCGCCCCAATATGACATTTCTATTCATTTCTTCAATGACAAAAAATGGATGATTCAAAGTCATGCCACCAACTTGAAAACTGACATTTGCTTTTCCTTTGATTTTCAATGCATCACCATTTACAGATTGTAAATTGACTCTTTCTTTTGATAAATGTGGAATGTTATGAAAGGACCTAAAAACTTTTGAATGAATCAATGAGACTTCTGCACCAGAATCTATAAGTGCGCGATATTTCTTACCGTTAATCTTAATAATACAAGAATTAGGATTTCATGCAATATTAATTTTGAAATTTGGAATGTTTTTATTCTTTGATTCATGCAAATGTTTACTCCTTACAATGGCCCTATTTTGAAAGGAGTTTACTCGTTTAACTGATCTTTAGTTTGCTTTTTACAATTTCGTTTAATGTGTCCTTTCTTTCCACAATTCCAACATTCAACACTCTGATAGTTTGTTGCTCGATTTACGGAATAAATACTTTTTCTCTTTAATATTGTTTTTGAAGGGCGTTTAGATCTATAATGGTCAACTTCCATGGGTATATGGGTTTGCTTACCCGACCTGAGTTCGAATCGCTTATACAGGTTTTGTTCAGCCATTGCGCAGTTTATAGCTGCTTGCAGAGTTGCAGGGTTTTCACGCATAACCTTGAATTTCAATTTGTCTTGTAATAAGCCATCAACAAATATTCCAATCAATTGACGTTCAACTGAAGGTCCTCCTTCGAGACCTATATATGCTTCTTCAGCCAATGACAATAATCTTTCAGCGTAAATCTGAACATTTTCTTCCGGTTTTTGATTAACTTTTCTTAATAACATGAATGCATGTTGAGGATCTGTTACTTCAGCAAATCTAGTGGATAACTCATTTTTCAAATCATTCCAGGTCCCCCCTGGGTTATTTGTGAGACTTCGTTGAATAAAGTCTGAAACTGCCCCACGGCTAGAACCATAAGCCACAATTTTGACTTTTTCATCTACTAGATTGTTCATGAAAGAATATTTTTCAATCGATTTTATCCAATCTTTGAATTTGCTAGGATCCCCCTCATATGGTGTTATTACATTTGAAATCCCATTTGTACCAATTGCATTTGATAAACCTCTAACTGTAGAATCAAGACCATCAAATTTAGTTTCTAGTACAGTCGACAAGGTCATAAAGGCACCTCCCAAGTCAAAACCATTCCCAATGTCTTGGTTGTCCATACTTAAAAAATCAAGGTATAATAAAACAGTTACTTACAGTAGTCTTGAATGTCTTTCCCTTTCCAGCGTTGAGAGACTTCCCGTTCTGCGTCCTGGTCCACGGCACCAATTAATCCGTTATATAACACAATTACTCAATGTGTTGGGATTAAGAAGACTTTTGTAAGTTTATAGTTTTATTATAAAATCACAGCAAAGGCAAAACAATGGTACATAAGAAAAGTTCAATGGCTGCCGGTCTCGGAGCTAAGGTGGTGAAAGCTCACATATTCAGTCTAGGAGCTAAAATGGTAAAAAGCTCTCGTAGTCAGTCTTAGAGCTAAGATGTTAAAAGCTATTGATACTCAGTGCGCACATCTTTTGTACAAGAAGCTGCATCATAGGGATCACGTATTTGGTAATAACAATCAGTAAGATACATTGTCACTAAATTAATATAGTTCGCCCCTCACTGAAGCTGTCTCATCTCCTTATAGGATACGGCAATGTCCTCTGTTTACATTAACATTGTGTATCTTGCACATTCTTCAGTTAATTAGATGGTTGCAGCTTTGCACAAAGTCTGATTGGAAGTGTCAATGTTAGAGAACAACACATCGTAAAAACTAATTGACCGTCAAATGAAGCTGCTCACTTATTGTATCCAATCTCCCAGAGTTTGTAAACAAGTTCATAATTAAGAGGTTATTGTCCATCGCTCTACACACTGATAGTATCAATTATAATTCAAAACACAATATTTTAAATATTAATAAACTCAATGTACAAACTTAATATATCAATTAAAATTATAATTTGAACGCTCATTGTGTTACAAGAACTCTTATTGAAACATTATCCTCATGCTTTTCATTCACCTGAAGTTACATGTAAAAGAAACCTGTTTGTTACCTTAAGGGAAATAAACATTATCACCAAGCCCATCAATGGACTTTTCATTGGGATTTACATTAAAATGTCCACCACCACGAAATGCTTGACTGTAAATATCTGAAACATAAAATATCCTCATTAAAATCTAGAAGTTTATACATAAGCTGTAAATTTATCTTTTCTGACAAAGAGGTTCTTGTAAACAAACCTAGAGCAACGGTATCAATCAAAAGTGTGTTTTGTGTGTGTGTGTGGGGGGGGGGACCTCCCAAAATAATCTGACAAGCTCGACCTTACAGCAACAAAAAGTGTTGGGGGGGGGGGGGCAATCAGCATCTAAATGACAATTTACTATAGCAACAAAATATTAAAATCAGAAAAAAGGGGCGCCTCCCTGGTCACACGCGTTCTCAGGGCATAGTAAAGACGATTACACGATTTCTTAGACTGAGAGTCTTTCCATATATCCCCAGGTAAAACTTTGTTCCACTAACGTGACCCCATTATATCCCGGGGGGGGGGGGGGGTGGTGGTTTGAACAAGTAAGAATTTAAGCTATCTTAAAAAGCTTTGCCAATGGTTAATTTTTTTTTTTGAACCAGTAGTTGTTGATAATACTTTTTTATATGAACGACCCTATTTTTTCCAATTCTTTATTATCTCGCCCTAAGGACTTTAAAGTATCATAAAGATTGTCCGAGCCATTTCCAAGAACATTGAAGGACACAACCACTAACATTCTGTCACTAAATTGGTCACGTGACTTTTTTTTAATTTGGCTTAAAAGTTACTGAGAAAAATGAAATTAAAGAATTACTTCTTTTCGTCTGATTTCTATGGCAACAGTGGTCGTTTTGAATATCTAATATACTGATTGCATACCGAGTCAGTGATCATTTCAACTGTATTTAACTTACTTCACTAAGATTGACGGAGCCATCAGGAAGAAAATGCACCGACATAGCTATAGCTATAGGTAGAAACAATAACAATAAAGTCGCCCCGACTTCCTTCGGGGTGACATAATATCTAAGACTGCCAAATGTTAAAAAATCTGTACTGGATGGATGCACCTAGTGAATATGCTGTTTGATGAAGCAGTGAAAATGGTAAATTGTTTCAATTCTCAGACCATAGAGCTGTTGTATTGTAAGATAAGCTAAGATAAATACATTTTTATTTAAAGTCTGGTTTTAACAAGAGCTATTTCCGACGTTGGTAATGTTTTGATGTAGTCTTACAAAAAGAATATTTTAGGAACCCCCGGTAGAAACATTCTGAAATAGAATATAAAAAATACAAATATATGACTCTAGAAAGGTGCGCATGCTGATTTGTGTGCAATAATATATACATTTTTAATGCACGAAACTGTAGGTCTCTGACGCTAAATATCCCATTTTTTCTAATGAGGGAGGAGCTAAAGCACCTAGACACAAAGATGCAAGTACATGTATATATATCGTACAGATTAAGTCACTTACATGTAATTGTTCTCTGTATCAGCTACTACATTTCCATTGCGCTAACTATACCAAACACCAAAGTCATCATATATAGATAATGAATGGTGATAAAATGATGCAGTCCATAGATATACGCAAGTAATGTTGCAGAAATCAATGAGGTTATCGTCTGAGAGAAAATGTGAATGAGAATGAAATATATTGCAATCGATCTTTGGTTGCATGGCAACTGTTCGAAGGATGCATTCGGAATTTCAAAAGAATTGACCTATAAAGAAGAGAAAAATTTCCAGGAAAATCTCACATGCACTTCAAAATTAATTTTCATTTGTTACTTTCTACCGTATATATGTTTGAATTTTTGGCAAATATTTTGAAATTATCCCTCAAATTTAGCTAAAACAACATTTTCCCCATTAAAGCACCGATTTTTGCATGAATTTTGGCTTAGGAGGCCTTCAAGGCAGACCTGCCCTTACAAAAAATTATGATATTTTGATGGAATGTGATCTAAGGAACATTCTTGGACTATTATAATATGATTAATTGATTGATTGATTGTATGTTGTTAACGCCCCATTCGAGAATTTTTCACTTGTATAGAGACGTCACCGGATGTCGGTGAAGGGCTTCAAATTTTGACCTATACTCGGCACTCAGGGCCATTGAGCAGTGAAGGTTCTTTATCGTGCCAACGCCTAGTGTGACACAGGACCTCGGTTTTTAACGTCTCATCCGAATGACCCGTGACTTCGACTTCTAGTGCTGGACGCTAGGCGAAGGAACAGTCACTACCTATGTTAAGTCTTATAGGTTTGACGCGGTGCGGCGAACGAGAATCGAACCCGGTCCTCCCGATCACAAAGCGAGCGCCCCACCACTAGGCTACCGTGACCGGTCTATTATAATATGAATTTTCTCTCTAACAGCATAAAACTATCACGGAATTGGAACTCTTCAGTGTGTATGCACAAAACAATATGATTTTCGACATTTTGTTGTGAGCATTTTCTTACCCATATATAATTAACAGCGTATTAAGAGCTTTCTTAATAAGCTGTTTACTTATGGTCAAGAAAATGTTCACGATAAAATGTCGAAGGTCATTTTGTTTTCTACTAATGCTTCGAGAAACTTTTGCTTGATAGTCATGACATTTAACACAATGGTTGCTTAAGACTTCACACTCTTTATTCAAAGGATGGACTGACGAATGTATGCAAGCTTAGACCAACGTGTATCATTTATTTTAAAGAAAACGGTCACAGTACCTTCAAGCTGTACACTTCGAATGTATTTACATCACCGGATGTTCAAAATTTAATAATACAAAATGGAGTCGCTTCCTTTTAATTAAAGTATTGGATAGACCAGGGATTGGGTAATCGTAATCGAGTAATCGTAATCGATTGTAATGATTACTTTTTTCCAAGTAATCGACAGTAATCTGTAACGAAGAGATTTTCGATTACTTGTAATCGTAATTTAATCGATTACAGTGAAAATTTTCAATGTAATTATAATTACCTTTTCGATTACATTCGATTATTTCATACATAAATGGATGTTATTTCGGAGAATTATTTCCAGTCAGTCACAGATAAATATCACATATAAACCACCTAGTGTAATGTTTGGACTTCCTAACTTTTATTATCATAAGTTTAATAATGTTCTCAATAAAATTTGCATTATAGACCTATTGCCGATAGACGGAGTTGAATTTCACTTCTGGTTGTATATGTTAGGTAATATTTTAACATTCATTTAACGCCCCTTTTTTCACTCATATTGAGACGCAACCACTTGTCTGTGGAGAGCTGCAAATTTAGACCTATACTCGGCACTGAGGGCCATTGAGTAGCGAGTGATCTTTTTGATGCCAGCAACTACTGCGACACGCGGGACCTTAGTTTATACGGTCTTATCCGAAGGACCCGTCTCCAGGTTCCTCTGTGGAATTCGAACCTGCAACATAAGGATCAATTCCTTACTTCGCGACTGAGAGCAAGCGCTCTTACTATAACACGCGGACGACTAAAACTAAAAACTTAATCAAAAAATCTTCTAAAGAATAGTACATTTTAAGTTAATTCTGTCTATTGACCACAAAAATAATATAAAATTAATAAAAAATTTCACCAATTTCAACTTTTCCCAGAAATTTGTACCGAGCTGTATGTGTGAGCGTAGCAATTGAGATGATAGTAATGTTCATGCATAAACGAATCTTTGATTTGAAAGTATGCGTAATGTACAGCGTGAAAAATGAAGCCTGTAGGTTAACAAGACATTGGATGAAAACAAACATACATAATTATTTATTATATGATTGAATAATTCTTATCTCTGATTGGCTGAGATCAATTTGTAGAAGAAAACTACGTTATGTTCACCTGCAGGTGACCTTCCAGGTGAACATAAGGATTTATTTTTTGTACATTGGACTAAAAATGGATCGGGAAAAATACAAATGCAAATAGTTTTGAAAAGCTATTTCACTTACACCCGACTTCAACTCAGGTGAACATAACATTTACGCATACAGAATCCTGGGTGGGGTGGGGTGAACGGGTGTGTGTGTGCAGGGGGCCTGACCCCTCAACACACTTTTTCTGAACCTAATTATTAATGTTGAATTTAATAAAGAAATATTTATTGAAAGGCTTTCTCCCTACGGGCGACCCCACCCCCGGAAATAAAATTTGAAAGTTTGGAGAATTATCGGCCTCAGGGAGGGGATTAGTCAGACTTTTTATCGAGTAAGTTGTCATTTTTTCTTCATAATATAGCATCATTACAGATAATATATATTCTATAACTTTTGCATGGCATTAAAACTCTGATATAATACGTTAATTTCAAACTACAAGTATTTGGGAGTTAAAATTATTTGTCTTTTGGATCACACATTAACACTCTACATATGAAAATAGCTTATTTCAGTCAGCTGGATTGAAAATGAATTTCGAAATAGAATTTCAGTCCGAAGTTTTCTCAGACGTCCATATCGTATTCATTATCCATCATCAAATATTTTGTATAGAGTTTCAAAGTGCAGTTTCATGACCGATATGAGGCTCAGAAACTTGCGATATAAATGCTATCCAAACCCCTTCTCTCAAAATTCAGAAGACACAAGTTACATGTAAATCAACTGTTCGGAGTATGTTTTGCAAAGTAGGACAAAGGTCAAGGTCAAATGTGTTGTAACTCTGGAATAATGGCAAACGGTTCACTGTGCCACATGCTAAGTACTATATATAGACTTACCTCTTAAACAGTTAAAATGTCAGTAAATGTCGTACAGTAACCTTGGTTTACTGTATAGTACTGTGGCGTGTCTATCGAAAGAATCGGGTATGCGCAACCTGGATTATTCCGAGAAGAGAATACACAATATATGTGGTAGTTACCCCATATATATTGTTGGTTATGTGCAGATACCCGGTAGGCATGGTTTTAATGACACGAGGGAACGTAGCTTTCAGATTTTCAGATTTTATTAAAATCAAGAGTTGTACATCTCATAGGTACATGTATAAAATTAATGAGGATAGAACATTTCGTATGAGAAAAATATAAAGTATAACATCAGATATAAATAAATGATTAAAAACATTTCAGGCCCGT